GCAGTCAGGCGGGCAGGGCCCTGAGGGGCCGTGAGCATGACAAGGTCCTGGAGACCTGGTTGTAGCCACTGTGGGCGCGGGTGCCCAGGGAGCTCAGGTGGGGAGCAGTGATCACAGTCTGGGGTGCCCGGGAGCTCACGTGTGGGGAGCAGTGATCACAGTCTGGGGTGCCCGGGAGCTTGGGTGTGGGGAGCAGTGATCACAGCCTGCCTGCAGGGTCCTCTGTGCCCCTCCTGTAAACGGGTCTGGTCCCTGAGTGTGGGCTGCCTGCACCTCCATCCAGGACATAGGATGTGGCTGCGGATGCTGCAGGCCTGAGGCAAGGAGCCTGGAGAAGGTGCCAAGGCTCCTACCGGCTCTGTCTGGCAAGTGGTCATCCTCAGAGGGCTGTGCTCCAGGGAGGAAGCCAGGCTGGCACCACAGCCCACCACCAGCAGCTGCCCGGCGTCAGTGAGGGACTCAATGAGTCCATTCCTAGCGCCGGGCTGTGCCACAGGCCGCCTTCAGATCAGGGTTGAGCTGTCCCCAAGTTCAGATTTGTGCCCTAAGCGAGGCCGACTGTCAGTAGGGGTGGGAGGGGCTCACCATGGAGTGATACGTAACGCACAGGAGGCGGGATATGGAGGGCCTTCCCGGCCTCTGTGAGGACCTCGGCTTTTCCCGTGCGTGATGCCATGAGTTGGGGTCCCTGGCATAGCGGGTGATGCCGTCTGTTTTAACTGGATGCTGTGTTTGGACTGGACTTGGCTACAGGAATGAGAATAAAGAGACGAGAGACAAGGCAGAAGCAGGGAGTCCATATAGAATCAGCGGTTCTCAACCTGTGGGTCGCGACCCCTGAAAATACATCCTGCATGTCAGATATTTACATGACGATTCATAACAGTAGCAACATTACAGTTATGAAGTAGCAACGAAAATAACGTTATGGTTGGGTGTCACCACAGCATGAGGAGCTGTATTAAAGGGTCGCGGCATTAGGAAGGTTGATAACCACTGAATAGATTAAGCAACTCTTTTATGTCATTGAAATCCTGTCCTGGAATCTAAGATTTTATCAACACTTTTTTAAAAAATCGATTTTAGAGAGAGGAAGGGAGAGGGAGAAAGAGAGAGAAACATCAGTGATGAGAATCATGGATCGACTGCCTCCTGCACACCCCACACCGGGGATCAAGCCTGCAACCCGGGCATGTGCCCTGACTGGGAATCGAATTGTGAGCTCCTGGCTCATAGGTCGATGCTCAACCACTGAGCCACACCGTCCGGGTTATTAGCACTACTGAGTTCCTGCTGTTTTTCGTGTGATTAGGTGTTTGTTCTTGGTTAACGTAATTTTAATTCCTATGGTACACTTTTTTTAAAAAATATATTTTATTGATTTTTTACAGAGAGGAAGGGAGAGTGATAGTCAGAAACATCAATCAGCTGCCTCCTGCACATCCCCTGCTGGGGATGCGCCTGCAACCCAGGTCCATGCCCTTGACCGGAATCGAACCTGGGACCCTTGAGTCCGCAGGCCGACGCTCTATCCACTGAGCCAAACCGGTTTTGGCCCTATGGTACACTTTTGATTCAAAACTTCAGAATCAGCGGGGAGCAGTGGAACGCGGGCCTCACTCAGGCACACGCAGCCGGGAGAATCCAGGCTGGGTCCGAGCAGCCTGCCCGGTTCTCCTGCATGCGGCGCTCGGTGGAGAGGCTGGGCAGCCGTCTCCACACAGGGCTTTTCTGTGGGTTTCAGGGCAGAAGACTTAGCATTGGTGTCACCGTGTGCGGGCAGCGTCGGTGTCACCGTGTCGGAGTGAGATATGGACGTATTTGCAGTTGTTGGCATCGTGCTCACGCCTGTGCTTGTGGTTCGCAGACCATGTTTGCTCAGTTTCAACACAGCCGGGAAAAGGCCCTCCCGTCGGACAACGTGCGGCGCGCCCTGGCCGAGAGCTTCCGGGACGAGCAGCGGTTCCAGCTGGGCCTCATGGACGACGCGGCCGAGTGCTTTGTAAGGACTGGGAGCCTCCTGCCCGAGCTCGCGTCCTGCCCCCTCACTGCCGGCTCGCACACTGACCCGGCCACAGCGCGGAGCGTCAGAGCCCTCGCAGCTCAGTCGGCGCCGTGCACGTGCACCTCTGGTTTTGCCCTTGGTGATGCTCCAAGTTTTCCTGAGTGTCAGGCGATGAGGGCAGTGGTCGGCAAACTGCGGCCGCTTGAGTGTGGCTCTTCCACAAAATACCACGTGGGGCCGCGCACATGCAGTGCGATTGAAACTTTGCGGCCACATTCAAGGGCCAAAGAGCTGCATGTGGCTCGTGAGCCGCAGTTTGCCGACCACGGGACTAGGGTATTTCAAAATGTATTTGTTGGAGCAAAAAAGGTTCATTCAATTGAAGACATCACTTCAGCCGGCGCCCCGCCCCCTGGGCCTGCAGGTGCGCACAGCCCGTCTAGTGGGCAGTGACTCGGGGCAGCAGGGCTGGCACGCACCCCATGGCAGGTGGAGAGGCCTGGCGGGGGGAGGCCCTGGGACTGTCGCCGCGTGGATGAGCAGAGCGTCCGTGGTCCGTCAGGGACCCTCCTCACCTTCCTCAGTGTGTCAGTGAGAGATGCTGCCTGTATGTG